AATGTGTGTGTGGTTGTTGTTGTGTGTGTATATGTGTACATGTGTGTGCTTGCGTGTGTGTGCAGATGCACATGTTGAGGTCAGAGAACAATCTCAGTTGTCAGTTCTCATAGTCCACCTTGTCTTCTGAGGGACAGGGTCTCTTTGTCGCTTTGCCACTACAGATGCCTCACTAGCTATCCCAAAAGTTTCTAGGTATTCTCCTGTGCCTACCTCCCATCTCTTGATAGGAGTACCAGAATTACAGACACACACTATCAAATCTGACTAATTAATATGGATTCTGGGAATCTGGACTCAAGTCCCATATTTCCATAGCAAAGCACGTTACTTCCTGAACTATCTCCTGACAAGAGCTTACCTGTTGCTATTGCTCCTATGCTTGGCCTGAGCAGAATTTTTCACGGCGTGAATTCACCACAGTTTGCTCATCTGTCTCCCCACTAATGGGGAGCTGGACTCCTTCCAAGCTCGTGGGGATAACAGCACAGCGGCACACAGTCGCTGCCTTCTCAGCCCAAGTTTCTCTAAGGCACGCATGCCTAGGAATAGAACTGCTAGGCCACACCAAGTGTGACCCCGTGACTTCAGGGGACAAGCTGGTAGCAAACCGTCTATGGTGCCGAGCACGTCTTAAATGCACATTCCCCCCCCCCCAACCCTTTCCATTTGATTTCTTTAAGTATCAGATATCAGCTCTACCAAAATGTTTAAATCAAGTTCTTGCACAGCATCTCGGGTGAATTTTCCTACACGGAAGAGAGGGTTGGACTACAGGAAGGAAACCTAAGTGGAGCCAAGACCTAGTCTAGACATTGAGGTAGGATAGTCCAATGGGAAGAAACAGCCCAGTAGCTGTTCTACTTTTGGCAAATGTGATGTGGGATTCCCCTCTGTATGCTGTGAATATGCTTTACTACCATTAGTGGTGACACATCGATTAATAAAAATGGGTTAATTTAAGATGTAAGAGCTAGCTAGGAATATGCCTGAGCCATTGGCCAGTGTTGTAATTAATACAGTTTCTGTGTAATTATTCAGGTCTGGGTGGCCAGGAAACTAGAGCGCAGTCTCCATTTACATAGATGGGAGAGAGAAATAAATGTTTACATTAGAGTTAAAGCTCATTTCCCATCTAAGATGCTCACTCAGCCTCTTCTGCCTCATTCTTACAATCACTGCTTGTGCAAAGAACAAAAACCTGAAAACGGAAAGCCTAGTGTGTAAGTCACATGATTTCAAATGACAGTGGGGAGGAGGCTCAGACTGGACATCACCATACAGTCTAACGCATCTCTATACCCACAAGCTGAGTGTTTTCCAGTCTGACCAGCTCACAGATGAATCAAGTCCCTATTCTTCCTCAAGGAACTCGCAAGCTCTCTAAGACAGGATCAGGCATGAAGTGCCCGAGGGGGCACAGTGCTGGGAAGGAGAAGATGCTCACTGTCGAAGGACTCAAAAGTTAAGGATTGCAGAAGCCTTCGCAGAGACCCTGATGGAGGAGGCAGGGAGCAAAGAATATACTTAAAATAATTATAAACTCAGTTTCTGACTCACACCCCTTGATTTTTGCATAGTCTCCTATTTCTCACATTTTTAGGTGGGGTGTTATTTTGAGACAAGGTTTCTCTGTGTAGCCCTGGCTGTCCTGGAACTCACTCTGCAGATCACAGAGATCCACCTGCCTCTGCCTCCTGAGTGCTGGGATTAAAGATGTGCACCACTACTGCCCAGGCTTTCTCACACTTCTTAAATGCTCCTAGCTCTGGTCACACTCAGACACCAGAGGAGCTCGGGGCTCCTCACTACAGACCCAGGATCATGGCATTCTCTTTAGTTTTCACTCCACAAACACTGACGGAGCAGACTGCTACCAGGTGGCCAGCCCTGTACTGAGCTCTGGGGATACACAGATGAAGAAGATGGGGTTCAGTCTCAGCCCCATTCCCATTCCCTATCTTCAAGGGTAGACAGAAGATTAAACAAAGACTGCTCACTTGGCCTGTCTATCACTCAGACTTTATCAGCCTGAGACAGCCTCTCCCTTTTTCCCCATAGCTGGAAGAATCCTGCACAGCTTCCCAGGTAGCCAAGTGGCTCTTCAGACCTCCAAGACCCAAGCATCAGGTGCTTCCCACCGAGCAACCTCCAATCTGATACTTGATAGCTGGTGGTTTCCAGAGTCAAACAAATGTCAGGAATTTTATGAAGGAAGGCAGGAAGCAGAAAGGGGGGCAAGGACGGGGGTCTAGGCCTCAAGGGAGCTCAATTAGTGAATCAGATAGTTAAAGCGAAAGGGCAGGTTCTCAGTTTCCTAGAAAGCCAGCTGGAAAAGATGGCAATCCTTAAGCCTCTGTCACTCAAAAGATTAAGAGAGGAGACCTCAGGGTGCCCAGAGGGAATTCTTCAACAAGCCAGATGTCTCTGCTCTTCCTATGATTCCACTGCCCTCAACCAGAGTCACATTTCTGGAGCCACCAAGAAGCCACAGCATCTTCTGAGCCAGGGTTGAAATGCAAACATAACCTTTATCAATACAGATAGAAAAGATTCCTCTGCAACCCTGTCTGGCGTATTGGGGTTTAGAATTTTCTCACGGAACTATTTTTCCATTTACCTGGAAAATACAATATAGTTCATGCATACAATGTGATCCATGAAAACCTCCCAGAGCCATGCATACATCACGTGGAAACAAACAAGGCAGTAAGCCCCCGTGTTTCACCTCCCTGACTCTACAGTGGGTCTAAAAAGACTGCCCCTCTTGTTCTTAAGAGATTGTATAAAATACCAAGTCCAAATGTTCATAAATGGTGGCTCTTACTGTTGCCCATAAATGCAACCAGACAACCAGAAGCTTAAGAGAGCTGCTTCCAGTCTGAAAAGATGACTCGGTAGTTACAAGCACTGGCTGCCCTTCCAGAAGGGCCAAGTTCAGTTCTCTGAACCCCTGTAGGGTCTCTCACAACTCCAGTTCCAGGGGAGCTGATGCCTCTGGCCTCTGAGGGCACCTACGCTCACAGGCTCATATTCACCTACAGATAGACACATATACATGTAACTAAAAATAATAAATAAGTCTTTCTTAAAAAGAGCCATGTCTCCTTAGTATGTACTAAATGTGTGTGTGTTTGACACGGAGTGAGCTAGGGTGTAAGCAAACCTACTTACAGGTCCTGCTTATGTTCCATCACGTTGGTCAAATTAACAAACTAAAGAAGTGGTCGGGAAGCTTAGTCAGAATCTGTTTGCCCCGAAGTCCTAGCTTGCTCCTAAAAGGTGCTTTCTCCGGTTCCAGGAGTTAGGGAAGGAAAGCCATATGGCTTGAGACGTTAGACATGCCCGGCAGCAAACAAGCCCCCCCACCATTTGTCGGAGGGCCTCTCTCCTTTCGACCCTCGTGTGGGCGGGCATCCAGATTGCGCTAGGGGTGCTCTGGTCTGCGTCTCTGTCTTGACTGTTCCTAATTATTGGAGGGAACGCCGTGGCTCTCTCTTGCCTGACCTCAGAATTTAAGAGCTCCGAGTCCTCATATCAAACCATCAGCCTCATTTAAAAGGCATCCTCATCTGCATCCATAAAAGTCGCTCCTGCAGCCCTGGCTTGCCCCAGCTTTGGGAATGCTGTCGAGGATTTATGACACACCCTGGATCTAATCTGCCACACTTTAACTGCTGCTGTTGCACATCTGGTCATAAAAGCAAGGGCCGGCCCAACACGGGGACAAACACTTTTCTTTCCTAAGTGGCTGCAAATCTGATCTCCCAGTGATAGGTGGGCTCAGATGTAATCAGCCCAGCATCTGGGCAGTCATTAAGTTAAGTCAGGTTTTGCAAAGCTTTTCCTCCATGCACGACAGCTATAAAGATGATTCCCGCATAGCAAAAGCCAGGAATAAAGAAGCAGCTATGGGAACAGGTGGTAATGGGGCTAGCCATCCAGGAAATGGGGCCAGAGGATCTCCAGGAAAGAAAGCACAGTTTGGTTGAGAAGCCAACCTTGTTTGCTCAGAGGTCCCAGCTACTTTCCCAGGGAGGTTCCCCCAGGGTGCGGGCAAACTGCTACCCGGAGGTCCAGGCTCTGATCTGACTACCTCTGATGTTTGCCCAGAGCTTGCCTTCCTTATGTTTTACCAGAGGAACCACTAGGTGGTTTAACAAATACATTTTTAAGGCAGTGAAATTTTTTATTAGACCAATAGGAGGGGGCAGGGAGGGCAATAATCTAGACCAGAAATGAACACAATGCTGCCGGTTCCCGTTTTACAATGCCCTGGACAATCCGTCCTGTGCACAGAATTGGCACATTTCGTGTGGTTCAGAAACTCCAGTCAGACCAAGGTTCAACCGATCCAACCCAGGGGAGGAGATCCTGGAATACTGTGCAGCTCTCCCAACTTCTCCACAGCTCCCCACCCCTGCCACTCCTCCAGGGCCAGGACGGCACGAGGGGGCATTAAAATTATCTGCTGTGGGTTTTACGAGTAGCGATTGCTTTTTAAAACAACAACAACACAGGGTCGTTGTGTGGCTCACGGGTAACCTAAAACTCTCTAGGCAGAGTAGCCTCCCCCCCCCCGTTATCCCCCCCCCACACACACACACACAGACACACACACCCTCCGCCTGCCAAGAACGCCAGCGCGGGGACCAGTGCAGCGACACCATAGGGAAGCTCTGCTTCCAGCCAAGGCCGAGCTCCCACCGACCTAGGAGGCGCCTGGTGTTGGGGCGGGATCTTGAAGGAAAAGACTCGGGAGAAGTTCGGGAAAGAAAACCCACCGGTGACAGGTCGTGGGAGTCGGTACTGCAAGAAAAGGCGGGGGGCGGGGAGAGGCAATGAAATTTTACTTCAGCAACTTTTCCAAGAGGCCCGCAAGGGACTAGACAGTAGAGTCGGGGACAAGGTCTGTCACCTCCCTTCCCCCTCCAGTCGAAGAGCGGCCAAAAGACCTCTCTCCCCGCGCAGGTGGGCGCATTGCCGGCAGACGCACTTACCCTGGGGCCAGTGGTGCGGTGGCCGCTGGCCGGGGACAGCTGCACCAACACGAGCAGCAAGTGGGGCGTGAGCAGGCAGACGCGCACGGACAGCATGGTGCCAGCTGAGCCAGGCAGCCGCTAGCGGGCAGGGGGTGCGGACAGGCTTCAAAGCGCTTGGGGCGAGGGGGGACCCTTGCGGCGGCGGGGTACGGCAAGAGAGCCTGCAGCAGGGGCTGGCGGAGCCTGCGGCCGGGGGTCACGGTCATGAACGGCGGAGTTGGAGAGCTGGAGCGCGAGCGTGTGCTCTGCGCGTGGCGCCTGCTGCGCTCGGCCTGGCCGGGGCGACAGCAGGTTGGATGCCTGAGCCCGGGCCATGGGAATTCCCGTTTTAAACCCCGGGAGGGGAGGGGCGGGGCCCGGCGGGGCTGACTGACGGGTCGCGAGGCCTGTAGCAGTCGACCCTACGGCAGGTGGAAGCCAATGGGAGAGACACAAGAGGGGCGGTTCGTGGTCAGCCCCCCACCTAGGAGGCACACTGGTTTCCCGGTCGGATTGAACTCCAGCAGAGGCTGGGATGCAGAGTAACTTTCTCCTGGCAAGTCCACTCTGGGAACCTCCGAGCCCTCCAGCAACTTTAGCCCCTCCAGATTGGTCACCTGGTTAATAAGAAAACCTTGAACACTTATCGGTTTTCAGCTTGTAGGCTGGAGTTGTCTCAACAGTTCCGTGAAGAAGGCAGGGAAAAAATAGCTCCGTTTTCCAAATGACACAAAGACCTTGAGAAATGTTTCCCGGCGGACACAACCTGGAAAGCCACCAGTTGCCGCCCACAGGATGAGCTGTGACCTTTGTTAGAAAGAATGGGTGTTCACTTTTTTTCAAAAAAAAAAAAAATCTCCTTGTGGGTGACATACGAGTTCCACAGAGGCTGCCTGAGAGAAGTCTCACTGAGGCAAAATGAAGCATCCGAGGCTGTGGAGGCTTCCTGAGGTTCTGTTAACGCACACCTGTGGCCCTGTGGTCCACATGACCTGGGATCAGAATCCCGGCACCCTGTCTTACCCATCTGAACTGAAAGTCCCCAGGAGCAGAGTCTCTGTGGCCTACCAACACTGAAGAAACCGGTCGGAGGAACCCTAGTTTCATATGGGGAGCAGGACAAGACATGAAGGAAAAGGGTCTGTGAGAGCAAAAATCCTAGACTCCTCCAAGGAAGGAGCAATCTTTCCTGGGAGCCCAGTCTTGGAGAGGGGAACTTGGCCCTAAGCAGACCCGCCAGGAGCTGGAGGTCTGCCCACAATGGTCCCAGAGACCAACCTAGACATGGCCACAGCTATGTAACCATCAGCTCCTCGACGCTACAAGGTGTCTGCTGCCTGCCCCACAAGAGACCCATGATTATCTCCAAGTGTGGAACCCAGCTCTTGGAGATTGGTTTCCACCGGTCTGGGCCCCTCCCATGGTGGGGAGAGATCCATTTCTTCAACCAGAGTGCAATAAAGCACAGGCTCGCAGCTCCCTGGCTGCCCTGAGAGATCCTGACAAAGACTAGCTCTGCTCCCTTCCAGTTTCTCTTCTCCATTATATGAGCAAGCTTCCCAAAGGGCGCGCGGGCGCGGGCGCACACACACACACACACACACACACACACACCACACCACACCACACCATCTGGCTGCACACAACACTCACCCTACATACAGCCAGTCTTCCTGAACAACAAACCGGAGTGCACCACTTTGCTCAAAGCTCAAAGGACTTTGCACCTCCCCCATCGGCCTCAGACAGAAATGCCCAGGTAAGAAAAAAGGGTACTCCAAACAAAAGTAAAGAACATCTCTAAAAAGAAGTGTCATTTTTCAGGGCTGAAGCCAGCGCCTTGATCAGACACTAGAGCAAGATCCCACCATCAGCACGGGGGTGGGGGGTGGGGGGGAATGGGATTCCCAGGTCTGCCATCTAGTGGTCAAACCTTGAACAGGACTCATCTGAGGTTTGTTTCCCCCTCTGTAAAACGGGAGTTAAAATGACATCCACGCCAGGTGTGTCTCATTGGCAAGGCTAAAGGAGATGGAATGAGTACAGCCCTTATAATGACATATGGAGAAAACAGCCCAGGACTTCACAGTACATAAAGCAAATATTCCTACTTTAAATATTCCTCATGCGGGCAAGGCATGAGACTGACTTGTCTGTGGCCTGATCTGGTTAGTAGATGACAGAACCAAATTTCTAGGCTAGGCTCTTGGAGTCCTATCCTGCCTCTGTCGCATGGAGTCTCCTGTTACTGTGTCACTGGGAACTTCTATGGAGACTCAGCTTTACCAAGCACCAGGAGAAAAGACATTAAGCAGCAAAGGTCGGGCCGTCCTGGAACAGCCCTTATGGTACAGAATACTGGGGATTTAACCAGCTGGATTGCCACACTTGTCCAGCCCCGAGTGTCCCGGTAGCACCCTGGGCAGTTTCGGTGCACCTTCAGTGTTTACCCACAGGGGGCGCAGCAAGCTGTAGGTTTTTCCTGACTCTGCCACCTGGGCACACACAGTCATGGAGCCGACCCACTGCCTGCTGGTGTTGGAATTATTGAGAAAGCCGTTGGAGACAGCGAGCATGTTCAGATGGCCCCTGGTATCTGGCAGCACGCAGCCCCCAGAGAGAAGCATTACAGTAGAGCTTTCCATCCTCAACCCCAAATGCTGCTTTCCAGCCAGAAAACTCATTTCCAAACAGTCACTGGTCCAAAAGTCGACATCGTGCTGGCCTTCAACCATGTAGCTTAATTTAAAATACAAGCAACCGCTTTCCAGTTACTTTGCTTAGTGAGTATTTTCTTTCCTGCTGGTCGGCATGCAGGGCCTGTCATGACTCCGGTTGCCATTCTTGTGACACATTTTCTCCCAACTCCTCCAAAGCCCAGAGAAACTCCGAAATCCAAGAGAACCCCTAGTCCTAAACAGCATCTCCCTGCCAACCAGGCTCAATCTTGTGATCCAAGCAAAAAAAAAAAAAAAAAAAAAAAAAAAAAAAGTAAAATTGACACGCTGTCTTGCCCTGGAGGCCAGGTTTATGACCCCAGAATAAATCTAGCTGGCCTGGCAACTGCCCTGTCCAGTTTTAGTCACACTCTGCCCTCTGCGACTTCTCTTTTCAAAAGGATATCTTAACGGAAGAAAATAATTATTTATATCATAACTTAGGTCTTGGGGGACTCAGGTCTGTAGCACTAGTGGGGAACAGCAGCCTGAAATGTCTGCCCTTTTTGTCCTGTTCAGAAAAGCAACATTCTGCTCATTCTAGCGAACACAATGTTCTTTGTTAAATGGGATCTTTGGGCACACACACACATTGTCCTACAGTTTAACGCAGGGAACAGAGAGGTACCTGGAGACCATATCTAAGAGTAAAGATTGCATTGTATGGGAACTCAAAGAGCAAGGTGCTGTATATCTAACCGGCAGGAAGGACCCCTGAAAGCGGTTAACCCTGAAGGGGATCGGGAACAAAGTGCTGGTACCGTGTCGATAATGTCAGCTCAATGTTTGCTTTGCTGTTGCAGCAGCCCCGAGCTGAGGTGTGGAAGGTGAGGACTTGCAAAGGCACTTCCGAGCTCAGTCAGGAGTTTGGGATACCAAGCTTAAGCCTACAATTCGGTTAAGGTTATTCATTACTCTAACTTTGCACATGAGGCTCATCCACAGAGCTTAACCTTACCAAAGCTCTTGCTTGAATAAAACCAAAAAAAAAAAAATTAGAAACTTATCTGCCTCTAATCTAGATTCCTATTGACAGTCTATCATAATAAACAGCTTCCATCTGGTGGCCCAAGATGGCTGCTCAAGTCCTTGCTATCATATCTGTTTTCCAGCAAACAAGATGGAAAAGGGAGAAAGAAGAATATGTACTTGCCAGAAGTTACACTGTATTCTATTTCCTTGACTGCAGCTCTATAGGTATCCAGGTAAACACAAATGGTTACTAAGGAAGGAGACACAGTTGGCAGTAGAGGCTATCAACATTGTGATGCTCAGTTGCCAAATGAAAGGTCTTCAACTCCCTTATATTAAATATAATATAAATATATTAAATATATATATGGCTGCTGAGCATTAAATGTGTGCCCCTCCCACAAAATTCATCTCTTGAAACCCTATCCCCTTCAGGATTTCAAGGAGTCCTTGGGACTAGATGAGGTCATAAAGGAGGAGTCTACAGGAATGAGATTCATGCCTTTATACGAGTCGTAGGAAAGCTTGCTTCTCAAGACTGTCAGATCTCCACCATGTAAGGTCCTAAAGAGAAGTTGACACTCTGGCTTCAACAAAGCCCAACCATGCTGGAACCTTGGTCTTGAATTCTTAGCCTGCAGAATTTTGCGAACTAAGTGTGTATTGTTTAGAAGCACCTAGTCTAGGCACAGCAAAATTCATACAGGAATGGAACCCACCCAAGAGAAAGAATTGTGCTACAGAGAACAAAGCTGATAGAAATGGAGATTCAGAGGTCCCTGTAATCCCTTTGCCATCAGACATGGGGTGACAGGATTTGGAGTTTGCCCTGTTGGGTTTCAGTCTTGTTTTGGTCCAGTATTTCCTCAATATCCCCCATTCCTCCCTTTTTGAATGGTACTGCATATTCTGTGCCTTTGTATATTGGAAGTATATAATTTTCTTTTTGATTTGGATTTTACAGGGAGTTACAGTTAAGAGATTGTCTTGAAAAGAGACTTTGGACTTTGGGCTTTCAGTCAGTGTTGAGACTGTGAAAGATGATGGGGACTTTTGGAGTTGGACAGAATGTATTCCGCATTATGATATGCTATCAGCCTTTGAGAATCAGGACTGAAATGTAAAGCTTTGCATGAGAACACCTAGCCAGGTGATGGTAGTGGCGCACACCGTTAATCCCAGCACTCGGGGGGTGGAGGCAGGTGAATCTCTGAGTTTGAGGCCAGTCTGGTCTACAGACTGAGTTCAAGGACAGCCAGGGCTACAGAGAAAAACCTTGTCTGGGAAAAAAAAAACGTAAGAAGAACCCCATTGGTTTATATGTTTTAATGTTTGGTTCCCAGTTGGTGGAACTGTTTGAGAAGGATTAGGAGGCCTTATTGGAGGAGGTGTGTCACTCAGGGTAAGTTCTGAAGTTTCAAAAGCCAAGACAGGCCCAGTATCTCACTCTTTCTGCCCCATACCTGTGGATCAGATGTGAGCTCTCAGCTACTGCTCAAGTGCCATGCCTGACTGCCTGCTGCGGCTCTCCCTTCCATGATGGTCATAGACTCACCGTCTGAACTGTAAGCAAGTCCCCAACTAAACACTTTCTTTTACAAGTTGCAAGTTGCCATC